CAGTGTTCAGGAGACATTAGCATTTACTGTACACTGCACTACCAGTGTGGACAAATGTGTCTCCTGCCCTCCCTTAAGTGATGCCTGAATGACTATATCCCAGTGTGTCTTCAGTATGTCTTGCACACATTTCAACACTTGTGTTCAGTGGCCTGTCCACTTAGATCACCTAGTGTGTGTTTTGATGCCAACTGTGAACACTGCCATAGGATAAGTGATAACCTTATGAGTTGACTCAAAAGAGAGCTTGTCTACTGCAACATTACATTCAAGTACACAGATGGTATCCAACTCCTCTGTACATATGTTTCGATGTCATTAGTGAACATAATTTTAAAATAGAGGCTATAGGGGAACACTCTTGTGTTTTGTTTTTAGGGAACTATCAAATTCTAATGTTCCCCTTCGGAGCTTTAGGTCTTACATTAAATCATTTAAGCTATCAGATTCCCTTTTATCTCTGCTCAGTGTATCTTAGATGCTCTTAGCTACATTATGACATCCTGCAATATTTAAAGTCTTGATCCTGAGACTGAAGATGTGTCTGAGTTGTAGTTTAGAGTCAGTCTGGCAGTAGGTCTGTTTATTTAGTTTGACACTGCAATGGAGTTGCATCTTACTGTACCCTAACTTTACCCACTGCTCCCATTGAAAATATGCACAATATCGATATTTTATTAATATTAGATGCCGTCTCGGCAGCTTTCAAGTGGCCCGGCCACACGCTGTGTTCTGCATCAAAGAGAATTTATACTTAAAAGCAGATTTTTGAGAGTATTCTGGGGGTGAAACAGAAGGGGTGTTTATTCAAAAGCATTTAGAAGGTGCCTTGGAGGCACGGATGGTTAGGCAGACGCTACACCCCAGGGGCGTCCCAGAATGCTGGGTACAGAGAAAAAAACTACAGTATTAGATGTATATTGCAAATGAGACAAAATGATGATGATGAAACATTTTACAGCAGATGAATACAGCAACATATTAGTTGTCAGCAGGCTTTCTTTCTGAAGGAGGCATAACTTTAAGATGTAAACATTAATGTGCTAGCATCTATTACACACTTTTCTTTTTAGCTATTCTTAACAGCAAGCACATTTTTACCAAAATCTTAATCAAAAGTGAAAAATAAATCTCAGTCACTTCCATAATATTGAGTGGAAAAAGTCAAGTTCATTAAAAGTGAACCACATAAACCTTCACTTGATCCTTTCAAAGGCATGCTTATGGATTATTTCTTTAAATTGTACACCGAGGTCTTGGGCATCTGCTTAAAACATTTATGGTTTTAAATTATTTATTGTCTCTGTGACTTAAAACCCAATTGCCCTGCCTAGTGGAGAGCAACAGTAAATTTTTAAAGAAAATCAAGCCTCAGAAAGAGAGAGACATTTTAATGCAGTGGTTTTTATTTCTACTTGAGATTCAGCTCAGTCTAAAAACCAAGCTTTGAATCTGATCTGTTTGCGTGGCCGTGCAGGTTTAGAGCGAGGGACAGAGTACTCCTTCCGGGTGTCGGCCATGACAGTGAACGGCACGGGACCAGCCACCGAGTGGACCACGGCAGAGACGTTTGAGAGTGACCTGGATGGTAAAACCACCTGCTTTATTCAGTTCTTACAGACTAATCCAGAACCACTCTGTTGGGCTTAAATCTACGTTTTCTTTCTTTTTTCTGCAAAATAAGTCAGCAGTCACTTATTTGCTCACTGGAATTTAAGAATTTCTTCTGTATTTCCCTCACCAGAATCACGTGTACCAGACCAGCCCAGCTCTCTCCATGTCCGGCCACTGGTCAACAGTATTGTGGTGAGCTGGACGCCGCCTGAAAACCAGGACATCGTGGTGCGTGGTTACACCATCGGCTATGGCATCGGCAGTCCCCATGCCCAGACCATCAAAGTGGACTACAAGCAGCGCTACTACACCATTGAAAACCTTGGTAAGAGCAAATCACTGTTATTTATTCTGTAATGGTGCATGTTCATCATTTGTTTGCTTGTGTTTGGATGGGTGGTGTTGTGTTTTTACTGAGATATTGATTTTGTATCTTTTTGTCACTGACCTATTTACACTGGAGGATCCAAAATGGTCTGTCAAATACCACTTGTCAGATATTGATGCGACCTGTGGAACTCATGTGTCTTTGCTCAACAGCAGACCCCTGCATTTCTAATACTACAGTGGTTTGTCTTTCTAAAAAGTATGAATGTATTGCATCTGACTTTATAGAGCAGTCTAATCAAACCATTACATGGTTTTAATTATGTATGAGTAAACACAGACACAAACACTATGAAGTGATTCATCTCTACCTCATAGTGAGCATTTAGAGAATTAATGAGAACCGCTAATTACACAGATTGGGCTGAAGGTCATAATATTTTAATATAAAAAATTGTTTTCATGATTTTAGTACTCGCTGTCATGAAGCTGAAAGAAACAACATTCAGTTTCACCTCACTAAAATGTTCTGCTGGCTCCAGTGCCATTTCTCTGCTGAAGCTCAGTTGAAAAGCTGAGAAACAGACACAAGTTGGAGTCAGTGCTAACTTAATGTTTTTGGAGGACTTCAATAAAACCATTTAATAAAACTCGAGAGCAGTGTCATTATAGCTCTTATGCCAGTAAATAAGCGGTGATCTCCTGTTGAAATCCAAGAAACAAAATTACAGATTTTGTTTTAACAAAATCATATGAAGGTCATGGAATCTTTGGCTTGCACAGGCAATTTTCCCTATATATATAATTTACTAAAAACAGATTTATGTTCATTTTTGTTTTATGTACATCATCTAATAGCAGTATAAGAACAATGGGGTCGAGCTTGGATTGACTGTTCTGGGAGTTTTTGCTGTTGTATTTACACCAGAAATTTAATTTAATTTGGAACATTATTGTTCCATATGCAATACCGCTGCGCCCCGGGTTCGAATCAGGGTTGCGTCAGGAAGGGCATCCGGCGTAAAATACGTGCCAAATGTCAACATGCGAGTCGTCAGTGTGACGATTCGCTGTGGCGACCCCTAGACGGGAAAAACCGAAAGTCACTTACAGTGGGTACAGAAAGTATTTAGACCCCCTTAAATTTTTCACTCTTTGTTATATTGCAGCCATATGCTAAATCATTTAAGTTCATTTTTTTCCTCATTAATGTACACACAGCACCCCATATTGACAGAAAAACATAGAATTTTTGACATTTTTGCAGATTTATTAAAAAAGAAAAACTGAAATATCACATGGTCATAAGTATTCAGACCCTTTGCTCAGTATTTAGTAGAAGCACCCTTTTGAGCTAATACAGCCATGAGTCTTTTTGGGAATGATGCAACAAGTTTTTCACACCTGCATTTGGGGATCCTCTGCCATTCCTCCTTGCAGATCCTCTCCAGTTCTGTCAGGTTGGATGGTAAACGTTGGTGGACAGCCATTTTCAGGTCTCTCCAGAGATGCTCAATTGGGTTTAAGTCAGGGCTCTGGCTGGGCCATTCAAGAACAGTCACGGAGTTGTTGTGAAGCCACTCCTTCGTTATTTTAGCTGTGTGCTTAGGGTCATTGTCTTGTTGGAAGGTGAACCTTTGGCCCAGTCTGAGGTCCTGAGCACTCTGGAGAAGGTTTTCGTCCAGGATATCCCTGTACTTGGCCGCATTCATCCTTCCCTCGATTGCAACCAGTCGTCCTGTCCCTGCAGCTGAAAAACACCCCCATAGCATGATGCTGCCACCACCATGCTTCACTGTTGGGACTGTATTGGACAGGTGATGAGCAGTGCCTGGTTTTCTCCACACATACCGCTTAGAATTAAGGCCAAAAAGTTCTATCTTGGTCTCATCAGACCAGAGAATCTTATTTCTCACCATCTTGGAGTCCTTCAGGTGTTTTTTAGCAAACTCCATGCAGGCTTTCATGTGTCTTGCACTGAGGAGAGGCTTCTGTCGGGGCACTCTGCCCTAAAGCCCCGACTGGTGGAGGGCTGCAGTGATGGTTGACTTTTTACAACTTTCTCCCATCTCCCGACTGCATCTCTGGAGCTCAGCCACAGTCATCTTTGGGTTCTTCTGTACCTCTCTCACCAAGGCTCTTCTCCCCCGATAGCTCAGTTTGGCCGGACGGCCAGCTCTAGGAAGGGTTCTGGTCGTCCCAAACGTCTTCCATTTAAGGATTATGGAGGCCACTGTGCTCTTAGGAACCTTAAGTGCAGCAGAAATTTTTTTTTGTAACCTTGGCCAGATCTGTGCCTTGCCACAATTCTGTCTGTGAGCTCTTCAGGCAGTTCCTTTGACCTCATGATTCTCATTTGCTCTGACATGCAGTGTGAGCTGTAGGGTCTTATATAGACAGGTGTGTGGCTTTCCTAATCACGTCCAATCAGTATAATCAAACACCGCTGGACTCAAATGAAGGTGTAGAACCATCTCAGGGATGATCAGCAGAAATGGACAGCACCTAAGTTAAATATATGAGTGTCACAGCAAAGGGTCTGAATACTTATGACCATGTGATATTTCAGTTTTTCTTTTTTAATAAATCTGCAAAAATGTCAAACATTCGGTGTTTTTCTGTCAATATGGGGTGCTGTGTGTACATTAATGAGGAAAAAATGAACTTAAATGATTTTAGCATATGGCTGCAATATAACAAAGAGTGAAAAATTCAAGGGGGTCTGAATACTTTCTGTACCCACTGTACATGATTGTTCCTGTTACATAGGTCATACTCATTATTGTTGGTTTTTATTAATGTCATTATTATCGCCATCAATAATTCTACAGTAATCAGAGCCTTAGCAATGGGTATAGGAGTAGATTATGGGTATAAAAAATCTCATGAAATGGAAAGATTTGGGGTTGAAATTGTTGCAATAAAAATGATATATGCATAATAATAATATTGAAATTATGAGTCAAGCATCTCGAGGGTTTGGCTTGATTAGATGGCTGCATCACTTTATCTTGCTCTTCCATTTCTAGTCACTAGTCTGTCTTACATCTTCCTCTCACAGACCCCAGCTCCCACTACGTCATCACACTAAAGGCCTTCAATAACGTGGGTGAGGGGATTCCTGTGTACGAGAGTGCCATCACCAGACCACAGTCAGGTATGAACTACACACACACATGCCCATAACTCTATAAATCTCACTTATTTTGATACACTGCAAAGTAAGAATTCAATAGAAGCATTTACACTGTCTGTCTATGGAAGAAATGTAAGTCCTATGAACTGTGGTCTCTTTAGCTCAGAACAGAAAGCACATGCAGTATTATGGGATGTACAGTACTCAGACTGTATGGCTCTGGTCACTCGTCGTTGACTGACATTTATCTTTGCTCTTTATAACCTGAGATCATTATCAAACAGAATGTGTCTGGACTCTAAATTACAAAAGAGAGAATGGGTCAACTCTCTTCTTCATGGCCCCCAATATAACAAAACTTCTTTTTAATCAAATGTTTAAAATCCTCAAATTTTGCCCCTAGATTACCTCAGGATAAGCTTCTTGTGTGTTGCTAGAACAGGTATCCTACGTTGAATGGCCTGAAATATTAGAATATACACCATACACAGGGGAAGCTTTGTGCAAATCCAGTCCTATATTTAGGCCAGATGCAAGATGGGAGATTCAGTAACTGCTGAAGTTAATTAGACAGAACAGGCAACATTTAGATCCTACTTGGATTTTGACTGGTTTCTTATGTCAGTATTAGTGTATATTATAGTTAAGATGTATCAAAAAATTATAAGACACTATCATATCAGTATTGGCCTCAGAGATCCAGTATCATTGTGGCTGTGAATGAAGCAGCTTTGTCATATTAGCCTAAGAATGTGGGCGGTCCATTTTGACTGCCAGCCAGACTGTCTATAATTTTCAGATCACAACCTTGTTAACATTCAGGAGTAGAACTTGACAAATGATTGTAAAGTGTGAAATGCTGCCAGTTTGACTGCATGTTAGCTGAGTTCACATGGTTCATGTGACAGTATCAGAAGACAGCTAGTCCGTGCTCCCTGCGGTGTCCCAGAATGTGGGCTGCACCTGCCTCCTTTTTCATTCAACCTCCCACCTCCCTGTTCAGCCTTGATCACGCCAAGTTTGAGATGGGTAGGATTCTAGATGACATGAATCATGTCGACATGCTTTGAAGGGGGGTGGGGGTGGGGTTGTAGTCTTAAGTGTTTGCGCATACGGCACACTGTCATACTGTACACTTCTCTCTATGAAACTCTCTCCCTCACATCCACACAGCACTGAACACTCACAGACCCCCTGTGGTGGCTTTTGCCAGTTTGTTCAAGTTGGGATTACAAAGACGAGCTGACCTACATAGTATGTTTACCTCTGAAAAAAAGCAGTTTAAACTTGAATTTAGGTTGAGAGAGTGCTCGGTTGAATGTTTTAATAATAATGTCTTAGCTGAAAAGGTGGCAAATGAGGAATTTCGCCCTATCTCTAAAATATTTCAGGGGCAAGTCAGCCTCTTTCCTGTTGTGTGTTGTACTTGTAAACACTGGTGACTGCCTTCTTCCAAAGCGGGTAAAGAATTGCAGCTTGCATGCCTCTCCAAAAACCTCAGTGCCTCGCCACAACCGCACAAATGCTGGGATGTTCTTCGTGCACATAAACACTCACACACAGACAGACACACACACTCTCTCTGGCTCAGTCTTGGGAATACAATGGCTACAGCTCTGTACAGAGAGGTGTCAAATAGAGCGAGGCGGAGAAGAGAGGACCAACAAGTGGTCAACAAGAGTCATCACGGGTGACTGACCAAACCTTTTTCTTCCATCATAACTAAACCAAGGACAGACCCAGGAGCAATGAAACCACTTGCCAGGAGGCCATGTTGAAGTGTTTATTCTTCAGTATGCTGCCCAGAAACTGCTTGTTTGAGCAGCTCCATTTTTCCTCTCATAGACACACACAGAATACTCACTGGGCTTTATGAGGCGTAATATGCAGGTCCCTTATACACACTCAATTGTTTTTTTGTTGTTTTTTCTGCAGGCACATAACCACCTTTTACGTACCGTCCCAGTGTTTTCTTTTTTGGGGTTGTACACAATATCACTCTTACATAAACAGATAATTAACCAACAGGTTGTAATTATGCAATATACTATCCACTGTACACTTAACGTGCCCAGGCCAACATTTGTCAGCCAGCAGAGATTGTTACTGTATACTGTTTCTACTGAGGTGGAAACCTTTACTAGATCAGTTTCAAAGTGATGTTACAAACTATCAAGTACTGCCGTGCAGTCTTATTGTATGGTGGTAATAGATTTACCCATTTTCTGCATCAATTCATCAGCTATTGTTTGTACTGTATTACACCAAAACAGACACTTGAATCTGGCCATTATGCCTCAGTTATATTTCTAGAAAATCTGCTATTACACAAGTCACCTCCAAAGAAATCTAAGAATAAAATTTAAAAATTGATTTTAAAAACATGCACAGCAATAATAGAAAGAGGATATTAAGGTTAGTAAATATATCATACTGGACCCCATTATGCCACACTGGCACTGCAAGCACCCGATACCAACATGCAGCGGGTTATTAGTTTTATATCTCTGTTAGTGAAATATTGGGATGGTACTGTTTTTATAGACATGATGCATATTAGTATTATCTATTAATAATTTAAAGACTGATTGTGGGAACTCAGCGCACACACACACACACACACATCCAACCACAACCATCACTCGTCTGTGACTATCTCCTCTTTCTCTGCCTGTAGGCTCCGTTACTTAAAGCCTCAATATTCTTTGTACGATTATCAGAGACGCACTGCACCTTGTCGGCATTACCCTGCAAAGTGCTCTTCTGTTCATCCCCTTTGCATTAAGATGTTGTGAAAAATTCTATGATGTAAACATTTGTAAACACATTTCAGTACTGCTTCTGTCTGAAAAGATTGGGTCTACACTTCGATGTGCGGATTGGCTGTAGGATTGTGGGTATCTATTTTCACTCTAGTTTTCCTCTTACTGTAACCTTTCCCTCTCTTTTCATAGTTCTACAGTAGCTACTGATAGAACACCGCATACTGTAGAGTAGCGTCTAAGTCTGTAGATTGGTCTCATGGTAGAGGTCAGTGCCTGTTTTTCTAATAGAATCTTCTCTCTCTTTTTCTTCACTCTTCCCACTCCCATCCTTGTTGCACTTCTGTTCATCTTTATCCACCTCCCTTTTTGTCATCCTTCATTTTAACTCATTAACCTTATTTTCGCCTGTTCTTCCCTCCCCACGTCCTGTTTCGACTCCACCGTCTGATCCACCATGCCACACTTATGTTTTAATTTGGGTCATTTTAATTTGTCTGGATGCACGCGGGTTTACTGGCTGACGTGCAGATCCCATAGACCCCGATGTTGACCTGTACGAACTCTTCCATGCTCCATACACCCCAGTACCAGACCCCTCCCCCATGATGCCTCCTGTGGGTGTTCAGGCCTCCGTGCTGAGCCACGACACCATCAAGGTCACCTGGGCTGACAACTCGCTGCCCAAGAACCAAAAGATCACTGATAACCGCTACTACACAGTGCGCTGGAAGACCAACATCCCTGCGAACACTAAAGTAAAGGTAAGAGATCCTCAGATTCTAGACATCTTAAAATTACAGAATTTAAATGTCTTTTTCATCATGTTTTTCTGTTCTATGTGTTAATGTAATTGAGAATTACTTCTCCACCGAGGAAAGCTCCAGGGTAATTTTGAAACTCAAAATGAGCTGATGCCCCTTATTGCTGAAGCTCACTCATCTTTTTCTGGTTTAACTCAGTGCTTAAACTCAACTGGCTTGTTTACAACCCAGAGTAATTCAGTTACGTATATCTCAAATCATTTCACTCTGATCACACTTTAGTGATATGCCTTCATTTAATATAGTGCAATTTCAGCGCATTGCAATGCAGTGGGACTTTGTGCATCCCTTCAGGCTGACACTTACCAGAGAGATGTATTGATGTGCTGAAAATAAAAAGTGTCATTCTATGATGTATAATAAAATATTCCCCTAGCAGCACAGTGGCAGGCCGCACAATGCTGGTATTTATGACACAGCAGTAATTTATTTTCATCCAACTTTCTAAGCAGTATAAAGAGAAGTAGTCACTTTACATTCTAAAGTTTTTGGCACCCTGGTTGATTTGGTGACACTCCTGGTTACTGGGGTCTTCAACAAAAAGGCTTTAATACTACACAGGTATACAGCTGATATGGCTGTACAAAAGTAATCGGTGAGACTGATACCAAAAACAGTAATAGTGGATTACATGCGTGTTTCATTTCCTGTGAAAGCTCATACAAAGATTGCAATTTAAATCCATCCAGCAATGAGAATAACAGACTCTGACACGTACAATGAAAACTGCCATAGTGTATATAGAGAAAGTTGTTGTTGTTGTTAAGTGGCTATTACAGAGAAAATGCCAACGAGTTTAAAAAGTGGAACTTGATTTCATAAAAACCTTGAGGAACATAACTTTAATATCTATTGTATTTTTCATTAATTGTTTCAAATAGTGAAACAATGTCCCACACCTGAAGGTCTTATGATTGTTTATGTTGTCTTGCCAGTGGGTGAAAACTTGAAGGTATTCAATTTCCAGTGATGCAGGATAAAAAAAAGCAGCAAATCCTTAAATTTGAGAAGTTGAAACAAGTGCAGTTTTGCTTGATAAATGAAATGATGATAAACTGTTTTATTGAACTAGTACTCACTCCTGTTGATTAATTATGAATTTTTAATTTGATGATCAAGAACAGTGCTGGAATATTACATTGATTTTCTGGGATCAGTGTCATAGAAATCTTAATATTAAAGTCACTGTTTGTGCGGTAATAAACAGAGTTAAAATATTTGTAGTGTCACAATGAGCAGAGCTTCTGAATCTTAACATGCAGATCAATTATGATCATTATTTATTGTGTGTGTGTGTGTGTGTGTTGATGGCTGCAGGCTTGTGTGCAATCCGGTGACTGAGTAGAGCTTGGATAAAGGCCTTTGTTTACTGATAAATTATTCAACAAGGACAAGAAAAACTGATAACTAGAAAAAGGGTGAAGATCTGGCAGTGCGTTTTCCATACAGCCGACTCAGTATTCACCCTCACAACACATCACACCTACATGTATACAGTACATGCAGTGCAACCTGATGCCACAAGTGAATGCCCAAACTGGTTTGCTCCTCGCACTATGCAACAGTAATTAAAGAGCTCTCCACTGGCTCATTCAAATCCACTATAAGTGGATTAGAGAGGTCTTTTCTGATGTTTTTAACAGTGGTGTGCAGTTTCTTTGCTTTGAAAGCTACATCTTGTACATCCTATTTTTGCTATATATATATTAGCACAGTTGTACTCGAGACCAGTATAACCAGCAGTACTGCCTCCACCTTACTGTTGCTCTTCTTCATGTCCTCTGTTCTCTTAGAGTGAGTGTATCCAGACAAGCTTGTGCATTATTGAAGAGGTGACTGCTTTCAAAGTGGCTACATGTGTCTAAAGAACAGTGTTTCCTTTTCCTATCCAACTGCCCCCTGTGTGACACCCCCCACTGGATAACTGCACTTTTGTAACAGCATGCAACATTATCAACAGGACTGGTAGAGACATGACTTGCTACTACCACAACTCCCAGCAAGCTAAAGTGTTTTCTCCTGCCAGTTCAGGCCAGAGGAGGTCAGGAGAAATTGTTACATAACTCAAGATTTGAAATGTCCGAATTTTCTTGGGAGCTGTAATTCCAATCAAACATGAAAAGCATTCCTAGTGTGTTCCATTTTGTGAAACCAGTACAGTGTTCATGTTGGTAACCTGCCATATTTAGTTTGGTTTATTTGTAAGGGCTGCACTTGTCTTTGAGTGCATTTCAGATCATCAGTGGTCAGTGTGTCGTGTATCCTCTTCTCACTTACAGGGATTTGCTGCTTTTTGCCCTGCCTGAGAAAACGAGACATTTCTAGATAATACCATGGGCTTTAGGAAAATGTGATTTTTTTTCTTTTTGCCATTTTTTGCCAAGTTGCTATTTCGTTGACTAAAATGATTGTTAATGACAGTGAGTTTATTCTCATGACTGATAAAATACATTGAAGTCCCTGGTGACTTGATCAGTGTTCAGTGAATATAATCTGCCACTATACAAACTGAATCATTGTTGTGGTCGAATTCTCATGTGTTTTCCTTCGCCCTCTAGATGGCCAACACCACCAGCCTGAGCCACATGGTGACAGGTCTGAAGCCTAACACACTATACGAGTTCTCCGTCATGGTGACCAAAGGCCGCCGCACCAGTACTTGGAGCATGACTGCGCAGGGCACCACATTTGAGTCCAGTAGGAGCACACAGACAGTTACACAAATAGTTATGCAGAAAGACACAAAATGTACAAAGATATAAACCAACAACATGTCCAGTGTAACAACCCCCTGGCTGACTGCCTTTTACTTTCTGAAGCAATCATGGAAGGAGCGGGAACACCTGAGGAAAATCAAGATTTCTCTGCACTGTATAATAAAAGCCAACCGTGTCTTCTATTTATCACATTAATACAAGTGAAAGTGCGGAAGTTTGTAGCAAACTTGATGACTGGGGAATTTCATTTCATCCCTGCTGTCCTGTTCACTTACATTAAGTTGTACAAACCCCTCTTCCATGCAAATAATATAACATAATATAATATACGTAACATAATATAATATAATATAATATAATTTCCCCCTGGATTACATATATTGACTGTATCAGAGTTGAAATTACTCATAGCCCTCTCATTATAACAAAATAATGTCATTTTAAATACATGAGCCATTCTGTACTGAAAATATATCAGTTCATTTCAGCCAAGCCAGGGGGCCATTTAACATATACACATACTGGTACACACAAGGAACCATCTATAGTCCCTAATTTTTAACTGCTGTAGCAACACTTTCAGCATAGAATTTCTTTTACACTACACACACAAATATGTGTGCACACAGTTTACTTGTTTGCAGTAAAATTACTAGTGAGTCCACCATGTTGTTGAATTTAAAACTATAGGAAAAGTATGCCATCTTGATCTCTTTGTCAGCCCAACAAATGTCCTGTCTCAATTCCCACCACAGTTCCCACCTCCTCTCCAAAAGATGTGACTGTGGTGAGCAAAGAGAACAAACCTCGTACCATCATTGTCAACTGGCAGCCTCCTTCTGAGGCTAACGGGAAGATCACTGGTGAGTCCATCTTCAGCCCCCCCCAAACTGTAGCATCACCAAGACAAGGAACCACCCTGGAAAGACTTGTTTTATTATGAAGAACTCAGAAAGTCTATAATTAACACCTAACTTTGATTCCCAGGCAATGAGAAAGCAGAAGACAGACTAGAGTCACCAGATGACATTTATCTTCTTTAATCAGAAGCAAAGAGCACTGACATAATCCACACAATTGCTCTGCAGTAGTCAGCCGTGTGATAGACTGACGACCTGTCCAGGGTGTACCCTGCCTCTCCCCCAATGTCAGCTGGAGCTGGCTCCAGCCCCCCCTCGACCCTTTTCAGGATAAGCAGTATAGATAATGGATAAATTGCTGCACCGTAGCCTGTATGTAATGGTACATAGGCTACTGAAAGTTTCTGAAAATAAAACAGCCATACGTTTGCTTCACTAAACAGTAATCAAGTGAACACATTAATTAACATAAGACTCAGCTCATGAACATATTCTGACATTAGAAGAGATAAATAATTTCAAATGTGCAGTCCCAATTAACGCCACGCTTTATGACAATAGCCTTAACAAGAATGCAAATTAAACATCAAGATATATACAGTTAACAACTTTACAAGGCAAATCAACCCAAAAGGAACACTACTGATCAACGGTGCTGGAGGCAGAGCTTACATAATAAACTTACACCACTAGTGTAAATCATTAAAGTCAACAGAGTCCCTGAAAGAAGAATTCACAACTTAGTATGTGCTAAATGAAACTAATAGATAATTCTTATCAAATGTACTAAAACTAAACGTTACAAGCCTGATTTGAAAATGTAAGGAGTAGAAAGTACAGATATTTGTGTTAAAATGTAGGGAGCAAAATAAAAAAGTTTTCAGAAAAATGAATACTAAGTTAGAGCAGTTAGAAAGTAAATCTACTTAAGTACAGTAACAAAGTATTTGTACTCCATTACTTCCATCTCTAAAAGCCAAGTAGCAGAGTACTAAAGCCGCTATATGTTAAATATTTTGTCTCTCTTTTTCTGGCCTTCCTTGTTGTAGGCTATATTATTTATTACAGTACGGATGTAAACGCTGAGGTCCATGACTGGGTTATTGAACCAGTAGTGGGCAACCGTCTGACTCACCAGATCCAGGAGCTGACACTGGACACCACCTACTACTTCAAGATCCAGGCCCGAAACTCAAAGGGCATGGGCCCCATGTCTGATGCCGTACATTTCCGCACTCCAAAGAGTAAGTTTTCATGATGGGCCTGAGACCAAGCTAAGAGATGGAGCCCTCCCGATCACCAGTTCCTGTGATATATTTTTCATATGTATCACAAAGTTAGAGACTCGTTTGTGGAGAAAGTTGAACATTTAGAAACTAAAGAACCAGATAAGTTTCAAATGAGTACTAATGGTGCTCCACATCTGATGGATGAGTAATAGACCACTGTCAGCTAACACGTTAAACATGCCAGAGCAGCTTTATTAGACAGTAATACTGTATGTTGGGGTTTTAGGTTTGTTACTTGTGAAATGATTCTGCTCATAAGTATCCACATTAATGCAGTTGTAAAATGTGACAAATCAAACTTTCCGATTGATGATTTCCAACAATGCACTGTTTTAAGTACATTTTCTAGTTAGCTCACCTGATGAAAGTTGCTCTTAAAGTTTTTTGAGAGGTGAGATGAGGTTGCTTCCCAAGACCCATTAATTATTTTACAATTTGCAGCCGAGGTTTGTGCCCAATGCTGAATGTAAAAAGTCAGTTTATGCTGTTTAATGCGGTTTGGTCGTACTGCATCACTGGATTTTATCTGTATATATAGACATCTGTAGTACGCTCTTGCTGTTTATTTTTCTCACTATTCCTTATTCTTGTAGTTTTGCCCCCTCGTCCTCTTCTTTTAATACCCAACTCTCACTTTCTGTCTCCCTTGCTGCTCTTTCAGCTAACCTGTTTTTTGCTTTTTATTGTCTCTCCCTCCCTGCTCTCATTTGGCCTGTTAAAGCTGAGTCCTCTGACAAAATGGCTAATGACCAAGGTAAACTCCCCCTCCACACTTTATTGTTTACTGCTGACTCAGCACCTTGTGTATGTCTCTTTCTAAATATTTCCTGCATGACTGGCAAAATCTGTTTGTGCCTATAGAGATTTTCAGATTCTAATGTATCTCATGAAGGTTTGATAGAGACATTAATGTGAAGATAGAAGAGGTACTTGAGTTTCAATAGAGCATTTTTCCCTCCCCATTTTGAATCAGCCTCAAATCTTCCATCGAAGCCGGGGCCTCCAGGCAACAAACACCCACAGGATCCTGGCACTTCTGTTGGTAAGGTTTTCCTCTAACCCACCTTCTTCTACTGTCCTGGTCATTTATCTTACTTTCACTCAGACACAACCTTAACTAAAATCATGATCTGTGTCCAGAAAGTTGAACTTTTCTCTGACAGTGCATTTTGAAATCTGCAATGTGTAGTTGTAGCATGTTCCCCCATTAGTGACGTTAAACATGTACATAAAATGTATCTAGTCTAATCCAGTCTTTCTTCTCTCGAGGTAAATCAGGGGTGGGAAGCAGCAGTGAAAATCACATCCTGGTCATTGTCATTATCATCTCGGTGGGAGCCTTCACCATCATAGTGGTGGTAGTGGGGGCTTTCCTGTGCACACGGCACACCACGTCCCACCAAAAAAAGTAAGAAGCTCAGTCACGGTTTGACATTTCTAGTCCTCTTCTTGTCTCTCAATTCTCCATGCTCCTTTGTAAAATATGTTTCCTTACTGTTTTTACTCATCTACAGCTCAGCTCCCTCCTATATCCCCTCTTCCATGGACTTTTGCTACTCCAACCTTCTCTCATTGATCAGTGATGCCAGTCTTACTTCAATATCTTCTCTTCTGCAGAAAGCGAGCTGCCTCAAAGTCCTCGAACAGCTCCCACAAATTCAAGGGAAACTCCAAAGACCTGAAGCCACCCGATCTTTGGATTCACCACGAGAGGCTGGAACTCAAACCCATGGACAAGTCCCCAGAGCCCAACCCAGTCATGACCGAAACACCCATCCCACGCACCTCACAGGACATCACGCCAGCTGACAGCGGCCTGGACAGCAACCCTCACCTGCAGCAAAGGCGCAACTCCTACCGTGGTCAGTCCTGCCTGAGGGGGGAGACCTAAAATTTGATGTTATGGGAAAGAGATCAAAGTGAAATTTCACCCTTGCAGACTGAGCTCACATACAGAGTACCACTGAGCAAAAAATCTTGAGTTTGGCTGCCAGGCAAACATTTTGAAAGCCTGACTAACAAAACAGTTGTTTTTTTTAAGCAGGTAATATGCTAACAAGTTTGTTTCTAGGAGTATGACTGATGGCATGGTGTTTTTATTTCACAAGTCAACATGCGCCTTTGCTGTTGTTTTTCTGTGACTATCATGCAAAACATTTCATGCTTTTCATACATAATGCCCATCATGGATGCAGTGATGCAAGCACACACTACAAATACTGCAACTACTGAACATACGGTAAATCCACCTAATTTAAACTTTTAGTTCCATAATAAGAGCATGTTGAGTGTGACAGTGACGTGTAGAAATACAATCAATCCCAATAATATACCACTGGTTAAAGATCCTGAGGTCTACAGATGGAGCATTCACAAAAAATAACAGCAGAGTAGGAGTGTTTTCTGATTGGCTGGTTTCCACCGTACCTTTTAGGCCACGAGTCAGAGGACAGCATGTCTACACTAGCAGGCCGACGAGGGATGAGGCCTAAAATGATGATGCCTTTTGACGCACAGCCCCCTCAGCGTAAGTGTGATTGTGTGTGAGTCAGTCCACGTTCTCTTAAGTGAGCTTGTCGAAATCCACAGACATAAGAGAGTGAATTTGGAAAACTTTCTCATAAAAATAGAAAATTAGAACGCAAAAATATTTTAACAAATTACCTGTTTCGAAATATATCTAATGCCATGGTTTGTCTGATCGAGACTCCATTTAATGGCTCCGTCAAAATGCTTATTTTTGTTGTTATTCTGAAATTCTTTCGTTCGAAATTTGGTGACTGAGTGGCAAAAAGAATATTCAGGTGTGTTTATTACAGTGAACTGTTTGTGTGTGTGTGTGTTTCACATCCATGCCCTTCATCAGTATTACAGCTGGTTAAACATCAAATCCTGTCTGTCTGTCTGTGTGTGTGTGTATCCATGTCCATTTCCATTCACAGCTGTGATTAGCGCTCACCCCATCCATTCCCTTGATAACCATCACCACTATTATCACATGGGCAGCCTGGCGTCACCAACACGCAGCTATCTTTATCACCAGGGCAGCGGGCACCCACGTCCGCACGCCTGCGCCACCCCCATCTCTCATCTAGACAAGGTGGACTCTACAGGTGAGGTGCTGCCACCTGGTGAGCAGCAGGAGAAGTGCAGAGGAGGACTGTGCACTCAGACCCCTGTACATTCTCATTAACTGATTATCCATGTGTTCATTCATTCACAGGCAGCTGCCATGTTGTTGCATTAATATTTTAGTTTTCCAAAGTGTTACTAACCTCTCTTCTCTGACCTCCCTGCCTTCTGAAATTATTTTTTATGTAAAATAAACTAAGCTTTACCACCAGGAATGTAGCCAGACACACCCAGTGATTCAGACTTTTTTGCAGTGTAGTTGTTGAGGTACAGTGTATGAGCAGTTGAAGGCTTCGTCATTGATTGTTCAGTTGACAAAAAATATAGATCATTTTGTATATTATAAACAAAGTAAAACTAGTTTGCTGTTTACAGCTTAAAATGTGTTTGCTTTTTGTTTTATATCATTATGATATTTGTATTATTATGTTTTTAATTTCAGTATGTCATACATATTTGTCAGGTTCTTTGACATTTTACAGAATAATTTTTGTTCACTGACAGTAAAAATGGAAATTGACTTTGCATTACCCCCCTATTCAGATAGAAATGCCTGACTCCTGTTTCCCAGCAAATATTATAGCGATTTCTACCAGTGTAGCCTAAATAAAGAAATGAGTAACAGTGACTGTAATGTCTACTGAGCTAGTATGATGAGCCAGAGAGACAGGATGTGCAACTATGATATATAATAATCACTTATTATTATGAAACTCGTTTCAGGTCAAGTGCATTGTACTCTCATTGCATATAGAAGAGAGAGAAGCCATTTCACATAGAAAGTTAATAAAGGACATTTCCTGGTTTTATGAACATAATAATCTGCAATACATTCCAATATATAATAAGTTCTTTCAATAACTATGAATGAAGGCTGTGTGAAGCTGGTTAACAATCCCTGGCCTGTGAATGATGCTGAAGGCCTGTACATCCCTCTGCCCCTTCTCCAGAGTCAGTGAGGAATACCCCCATTTCGGAGCCTGTCCCTCCAGCCACTGCTTCCTCCCAGGCTTCCTGTCCCTCGGAGATCCTGGCCGACCCAGAGGGCAGCTACCACGGTTCCACCACCACAGAGGAGGAGCCTAGCTACTCCAGCAACCTGTCCTCGCACCGCGCAGCCCACCCGCATGCCCACGCTCACCCATTAAAGAGCTTTGCTGTACCTGCAATCCCGGCCACCAGCCATCAATCTTACGAGTCGCCTGCCCTTCCTAGCACTCCCCTTCTCACTCAGACTGGTGAGCAGAAACACACACACCTAAACTTAAGTCAGATCACAATACAAGACAGCCACCTGTCTGTGGCTCGGGAGGTAGAACGGGTCGTCTCCTCCGGAAGGTTGGCAATTCGTTTCCCAGCTTTCCCAGTCAGTCTCCCTCACATGTCGAAGTGTGCTTGAGCAAGACACTGAACAAGTTTCTCCCAGTGATGATATCACCAGACATGTCGTGTGTGCTTGGGAGTGCAAATGGGTGAATGGGCAAATAGTGTGAAAGAGCTTTGAGTGTGCTGCAAGCACTACGCAAGTATGTGACCAGCTGCCTGCCATCGAGGTTGTTCGAACTGTGACCAGTAAATGAATAACTAAGTGCATGTTTAATTGTGTGTTAATCCAGCAGTCTGCTGTGAGGTTTAGTCTGCTAAATAAAAATATCATGTTAAAAATACATTTTATGAGTGAATAAATTGAACTTGGGTATCTGCAAAATATTTACCTCAGAGTTGCTAAAACCAGCTTCAGTTCATCATCATTTTCCTTTGAGTTAACTTCTCTGTGGGTCCTTACTCCTGATGCATCTTGAACTGTTGTAAATGAAACTGACTTGAATCGTATATGTAAGGAAAAAAATGTTTGAGACTCATTCAATATCCAGTAAATCAAGGATTTACTGTAATAATGTAATATAACCCGCAGCTTATACCAAACTGGGTTTTTAAACACACTTGTAGATTTCTATTGTTTTAATAGAGGAACTTCTCATGACAAGATGCAGGAAACTGTGGCCTTCACTGACTGTTGTATTTTTGTGTTTTGTGTTACTCTTTCTCATTCAGGGCCTCCCACTCATCCACATGTTGTAAAAACAGCCTCTATTGGAACTCTAGGAAGGACACGAACACCGATGGTAGTCACCGTACCCAACGCTCCTGATGTGTCAGAGACCAGCAAGATGCTGGAAGATGTAGACAGCGTAAGTATAGCGCCCTACACTGGTCACTTGTAGCAATGCAGTCTGTCTAGGTGAATATAGTGAATAAATATTTAATGTTTATTATTTTCTGTCTTTTATAATTATACCAATTACACACAGCGTCCAGATCCATATCAGGTTTTTTGCAATTACTTGTTTTTAACAACAATTTGTTTTTGTTCTTTCTCTCTTTTTATTCTTTCCACCTTCAACCTCATCATTTTTTGTGGTGTTGTCGGCTGCTTTTCAATCAATTCATTTAACTTTTTTCAACTGACCTTAACAAATCCCATAACTGGAATGATTTTATTTTTACCACTGAATCATTTCTCCATGTCCTAATCTTTGATTGGCTGTTGACGATACGTTTACATTGGTTTCTCTTTGGTTCTGGATGTTTGCTTTTGGCCGTTGCCTCTTTCTGTTTTTGTCATTTACAATGCATCAGTGCCACTGACCCATCCCCCAGCTCGCCTCAGCCCACCCATACGACTCCCCCTGTCCGCTGCAAAAGATCCCCTACTGACCCTCTCCTCCTCTCCTTTCCTCTCCTCTCCTCTCTTCTCCCTCCCTCCTTCCAGGTACTTGCCTCCCTGCCCCCCTGTCCCTCCCCTGCCCCCCGCAGTAACCCTGTTCCTCTCCCTCAGAGCTACGAGCCTGACGAGCTGACTGAGGAGATGGCCCACCTCGAGGGCCTGATGAAGGACCTGAACGCCATCACCACAGCGCCATGAGCATGCACACATACCTACACATGCAGACACACTCTTTTCTGTCATGCACACATATATAGAGAAAGTCAAACAAACACACCCAAACATTAACTTTGGGAGCCAACAGCTAGAGGACACAGTGGTGGCTTCTTGTGTCCCAGAAAACTCTTGCGTTCCCCCTACAGAGAAAAGAAGACTCCAGACTGAAACCTAGGAACTTTTGTTTTCGGCTTACCTTGCTCAGTCTCAGGAAGGAGATTGCCATGAGAGGGAATCGAAGTGAGACGCTTCATCTTTTTATGAAGAACCATTCTCAGAGACTATGAACTTTTAAACATTGGTCACATTCAACCGGAAGATTGTGAATTTTTTTCCTCAGCAAAAATACACACAAGGGTTTTTGTGGTGAGTGCTCACTCAAGATGACACAACAGTTGATTCAGTGTCAAGTCAAAAGAAGAAAGCCCAAAAATATGCTGGTTTCGATGTTGGTGCCCACGAGGGCACGGTCTACACAAAGTGTTTGTTTGATTAGTGTTTCTTTGTGTATTTTGTATATCTATCGGGCCGTTTCAGTGAAGTGAACATTAGATATCAGCCTCCCTTTACAAACCTACATTACTCATAAATGTGGTCGTATTTTTGTTTGTACCCTCTTGCGTCATTTGTTGTTCCATGACCCTCTTTTTTTTAATTATTTTCTATGTTATTGTATTATTTTTTACACACATATCCTTATAAGCATGTACATATATTATGTTTTTTTAAACTGCCTCATTCTTTTGATGTTTCCCATTATTTTCTTGTTATTATTTGGGATGAAAGTGGGATTATAAATGAGCCCTGAAGCTCAGTTTTCATATCAGCAGAGGAGATAAGCATTCTTCTTCTCAGGCATTGTGTTGCCCCCTTTGTACATTAAAATGTCTTTGTTTTCAGCTTTTTTTTTTGTTTGTTTGTTGTGGGAGCTCTGTTTTAAAAGCCTTACCAACGTGTTTGTATGTTGGACGATCGAGACGACCGGGCCCTCCGCAGATGTCACTTGGAGTTGTGCTGTCATATGCTGCCATTGCAGTTTCTGTGTCGTTCTGTGGGGTTTGACAGTATCTCCTCACAGGTCAGGGGTACACAGGACTCAGGACATTGAACCCCACCCCTCGTTTAAAAAACAAAAAAAGAGAAATCACATGGCACCCAATCACTCAGTCACCTGCAACAGGCAAGTTATCTTTTATACGCAAAGTGTGATTGAATGTGTGTAATTTCCAAAAACCAATATTTGGTTTCAGACATCTGTACGGCTGAA